CACAACAAGAAAAGAAGGATGTTTCTGTTGACTGTGTGTGTATGTTACATGCATGTTCTTAGTTCTGCCCTCCAACCCTTTTGTAGCTCCTATGTGGGCTCTGGCCTGTTGTCTGAGGTTCTGATCTGTGTGAACTCTGTGCTCACCTTTGAAGTTCTCCTCCATGCATCTCTACAGTCCCACCGCCCCTCCCCGTCTCTCCCACCACTTTGATTTCCTTTCTTGTTCCAGGGAGATGGCTGATGCACAGATAATGCTGCTCAGCCTCTTCGAGCTGCAATATCACAGGAGAAAATAATTAAATAAATACATTTAAGAAAAACGGCACGCATGTTTGGGCACAGAGTCACGAAAGGCTGCTTAATCCAGTTTGATGAGAGATTATTTGTGTCTACACATTTATGTGTTAGAGTGAGGCTTCGAAAAAAGGCTGGACAGCAATTATCCCACTTGTTTTGTACGTAAGGCAATAAACGGTCGTTTTCTCCACAAACTGCTCTCACGTTTTACGGCATGTCACCAACGTGCTGAAATAGCACTGGTGCTTTGAGGTGACACAGGTGGATTAAAACAAGCCTCACGTTTGCATGCTGAGGAGAGTTTGACCAGACGGACTTGGTGGGATTACACAGAAACCTTCTTGATTTTCTTTAACAGCATTCACAAACAGCCATCAAAGCAGTTAACAACCACATATCAGTGTTATCTAGATGGCGGGGTAGCTTTCTTTTAGGATTAGGGTTAGTAATATTTAGAACTTTACCGGTTATCTGATTTCAACTTTCAACTTTCTTGTTCTAATTTCGATCTCTTGGCATTTCAATACTGAATACGTTTTTATTCTTTTATAGCAAAATTAAAATTGAAAAGTATTCATAAATAGATTGATGCAAGCTAATGGGATCTTATAAAATCCAGATGAATTTATGTGTTGAGTCTTCTTATGGTCAACATGAGTTCATCCTTACTTTTTATTTACACTTAACGTAATTAGAATGATTGTGGAAAATATGTATTTTTTTTCACTTTAAGGCATCTTAATCCATAAAGTACCAGTCTATGTTTGGCCAAGATGGGCATATCTGTATATATGAATGTGTGTTTCTAAAGGAAATGATGAATGGCTTGTTTCGATCTCCCAGCTGTTGAGCCTGTTGATCTAAGCCACTATGGCTTTGTCAGCAGAAACAAATGATCCATCAACACACGCCCTCACACAATTCAGTAGCCTCGTCACTGTTGAGTATGACGGATTGGACCTGAGGTGTGTCTGGTCTGGGTTATTGATGGGCAGGTATTGGAGTGGCAGCATGAAAAATTAATAGACCGGAGCTAAATGCTGTTCTGACAGGGGTCGAGAAGGAGAAAGAGGGCAAAAAGAGATATGCCTGAACAATTTAAAAAATAAGTGTACTCTTTAAGATGCCTGAGAATTTCAAATATGATTGATATGAGTATATATATTTTTTCCCTATAAATGGAAATTCCCGCCAGGTCTGATACACAAAGAATCACACACATTAAAATCTTTCTCTGTCACTCCAACCCACATCCTGTTATGGTTCTTATTCTCTGTTCTCTCTTACGCTTTGATACCTGAGAACCGCTGACTTATGTGGCCAGACAAAGCTCACCTTTGTCTTTTCCACACTGCATGAGTGTTTTTCATAAAAATGATTTCTTTTTGAAAGAGTGTGTGTTGCGCTCTGTCCAGGATTGCTCTAACACAGTATCCTACTACTTAATAATTCCTTGCCAAGATTCTTTACTCAGCAATGCATTTTTAACAACAAAGAAGTTTGAAGCACGTCTCTGCTTAGATTAGAGGACATGCTGCATGCGTGTGTGTGTCGTGGCACACACACGAACGGCCAGTGTGTGTGTATTGACGCAGCACTGCAGAACAATCTATACTAATGATTTCCCATAGACACCTAAAGCTGATCTGAGAACCAGGGAGGTAGGAGGGAGGGAAACAAGACAAATGCAAAGATTAAAGGAAGAAAGTAGTGCATAATTTATGGTTAATGAATGACTTATTAATACTTTATTGATGAGGTACAAATCATTATTAATTGCTCTTTTGCGCCACCTTGGTCGAATCAGTATCAAATTTGCATTTTAATTAGAAATTGTGTATATAAGAAATCTCAAAGTTTTGATAGAAGCTGAAAGATGAACAAAATTGTATATGTGAGAATAACATTTCTAAAAAAGAAATGCATTTCTTACATTTAGAATAAGACAAAAACTACACATTTTCCCATGGTAACTTGGAAATGTTCACAGTCTTTGAGCAATGAATATTCACGGTGAGGTTTGCAACGAAAGTGAATTTCGTAAACACTCTACTTTAAAGGAGGGATTGTGAAGGAACTTTAAAAATCCTCTTCTGTTACATTCAAATCCCGCCAATGGATAATCAAAACAAAGCAAGTGATATGTTAAAGCAGTAGAATACAGAATATGCTCAAAGGAGGGGAAAAAGACAACATTAGCCTCCAGTCAGCAAACGTGCTGAAAAAGCTAAATGCATGGATACAGTACCAAAGTTTTCCTCATTTAGTTGCTGACAAAGAGGACTATTCTAATGTTCATTTAGCTATGAGATACTGAGCCCAAATACCCTTGAAATCTTTGCAGCAATTTCAGGGCCAGAGCATCAAGAGCAACCGCCATTGGCTCCCAACAAGGCTAATGACCTCACCTCGATAGAGAATGAAACTTGAGAACCGAGAAAGCCAACGTTCGTTCAACCTTCACAAAAATTCAAAATGTCACACTTTTTAAAGCTTTTTTAAAGATGGATTTCTAGAAGAAGAAAAAAAAAGGATAGTGAACATCTTTATTTGTAGTTGCTGGCTTTTTGTGTCCCAACATGTAGTTTTTTTTGGTGAATGTGTAAGTGTTTCCAAAGCTATGAACCTAAGGAATGGAATTTCCTCCCATCACTTTACATTGTTCAGAGTAACAACGATGATATGGCAGCAGAGAAACACTCCCCACCATTCAGGGTATCTTTGAGGAACCATTAGCACTTCCAGGTCCAAAGGCTAGCACACAAAACACACACTGAGCAGAAAACTGCATTTCAATAGGTCGCCAACGTACAAAGTCATCTCCAAATTATATGAACAAGTTGCAATGTAGATTGTGAAGATAGTCTTTTTTAAATCTGCACTGACATCCACAACCAAGAAAGCTGTGTCAGAAGCTTACAGAAGATGGCTTCTTGGTTGTTCAACAAAGAAATTCTGAACTCTATGGGACTCCAAATAGAAGAAGAACCCCCGAGAGCATGAGGACAAATTATATAATCCATCTCCATTAATCCTCCCTGGTTTCCTGTACCCGGCAGAGGGAAGTGAGCATCAGCAGAGGAAAGAGGAAAGCACCAGCTGACGTACAGAAACAATTGAAGCAAGAAATCATAGCGGCGAAATTGTCCTCATTTTAATGGCATGTATTCCAGGTGTGGAAGAACAACGATGCTGAGGGTTAAATCTGCACTCCGACTCCCCGTGCTGTGCGCGCAGAGAAGAAAAGTGTGCTTTAATGGCAGTAATGTTGTGTCTGAGCGGTTGCAGTCACATGTGTATTTGCCATACAAACGTTATCAAGGGGAAGTGATTATGACTTGGTCAGGGGGAAACCTCCACTTCTGCTGCTATTGTCCTGCCCTTTCCTGGTTGCTGCAGAGGAAAACGAAGATCCATCATGTCACACTTTTTCTCAGCTGCTGTTTCTCTGGAAACTTATTATTCTTTTGATGTAGTTTTATTTATTCTAGCTGTTTTTCCCATTATGAGCTCACCATTGTTTCCAGTGAGATCAGACGACCCATTTGACACTTAGAAAAAAAAGTTTGAAGGTCCTTGTCTTGTAGATATAAAGAAACAGAAAAATAACTCAGTGAACTCTCTTTAAACCTTCCTTCGATTTGATACACTTTTCGTGGACACAATTGCATCTGCTTGGATTAATCAACATATCATGCAACTAAAACTGCATGAATTCTCGGGTCCGATGTCACAGGAAGGTTTAGGGATCTTCTAATTCACAAACCTCTCTGAGGAGTTGATCAATAACATTGGAAACACACGTTTTTAACTTAACTGATGTTAGGGACATAATTCAGTTAGAAAAAAGATTCTGATGCTTTTTTAAAATTTAGAAATGACAACTTTGTCAAGTGGGACTGAAAATATGGGATTATATTAAGGCAACATCTTTATATTTGGGAAATAAGCATTCACTGATGTCATAAGCTGTTTAAGCTTAATCACCAATTCAAGTTGCAGTAACTGTTTATTGCTTGCAAAATGTTAAATATCTACGTAACAAATTTACAAGTAACGTAAACATGAATTATCCCTCTAAAATAATTTATCTTAACATTAAGCAGAGTTATTTTTTATGATCTCTTTCTTTAACAGCTTGTGAACTATTCTTATTTCAGTTCCACATAAATACTATTCTTATTCATATTTATTTTATATTCATCATTGAACCGGGCATGCATAAAGTTTGTTATACGTCTCATGAGGGATTTCTTTTCTTTTCTGAAAGGTCAAAGATGTTCAAGGAAGTCTAGCAGAGGTTCCCAAATTGGGAAAGATCTGAAATTGTCTGGAGTTGGCCTATGTTGTACCGCCATCTGTTGTCCAATATGATTTAGACATTGTTTACAGTAGAGGACATGAGGAGCATTTAAGGTATTACTTTTTAATTTGCACACATTTTCTTTCAAGTTGTTTGTATCTTACTGTTATTACCTGCATAGAGGACTATTTTAATGCTGAGAATATGAATTCACTAAATTTTATTGAGAATTATTTTCCCATATTGTAATCAATTATATTTTCCCCAAATGACACGTTTGAATGTTTATCTATCTATGAGGGAAAAAGAGAGCAGAAATGTCCAGTATAATCAAAGTTGGATTGGGGGAAAATAACATTTGGATACCAGATTTCCCTCTTTTTCTTGATAACGCGCACCTGAAGGTAAACAATCAATCATGGAAATGCTCACACCTCATTTAGTTCACCTGGAGCTGCTCTGACATTCATAACGAGCCCCCTGTGAAAACTCCCTTAAGTTTCTTTACTCAGAGTCAAGCAGCTCAGAAGCGTTTAGCCTCCGTAAAAGTCAAACATGCCCACCAAAAACTGTGTCGACGAGCGGCTCTCCAAATATAAAAATAGGGGCAAAGATCTTGCAGTAAGTAGCTCGTAATATGTTAAAGTCACGCGTAAAAGAAATTCGGTCAAAACGGCTTCTTCTCCTCTTGTAGAAATCTAGAGAAAAGCGGATCTCTGAGTGCGTGGAGCTGCGCAAAGCTCAGAAGGACGAGAATTTCCTCAAGAGGCGAAACATAACGCTGTCGTCTCTCCCCGACGAGGAGGCCCTTTCTCCTGTAAACGATGAGAAGGTCCGGTCATGGAAACCTTGCATAACTGTATTTCAGAGCTTCTGACCTGGATATCTGTCCTGCAGGTGACTTTAAGGCTTGAGGACATTATTGGAGACATAAGCAGCGAGTGCAGAGAGTTCCAAACACGGGGCTGTCAGGCAGCCAGGTGAGCCTTCGGGGAGGGTGACTTTGAGCTGTGAAGCCAAGTCTTCTGGAGAATAAACTCAAATATACGCATACCCCCTTGAAAGCCCATTCATAAGAGGCCACTTCTATGCCCCTCCTTTCTTGGACTTGGAATGGAAGAAGAAAAATCATTGTGTCCATCTCCTCTTCAGGAAGCTGCTTTCTACTGGGCGTGATCCTCCCATGAAAGAGATTATAGATGCAGGCCTGCTGTCCCGTTTTGTGTCCTTCCTGTCCATGGATCATGAGCCAGCTCTGCAGTTTGAAGCCGCCTGGGCCCTCACGAACATCGCCTCTGGGACATCTTGGCACACACAGCAGGTATCTGTGCTGAAATGCGCTTGCCGTATCATTCGTAGGTTTAATGACCGTCATGGTAAATGCTTAGTTTGCACGCATTTCTGCTCTCAGGTGGTGGAACATGGGGCTGTGCCAGCTTTCATCAACTTGCTGGCTTCACCAATGTTACACATCAGTGAACAGGCTGTCTGGGCTCTTGGAAACATTGCAGGTGAAGTGTGTCTTTGTATTAAAAATGCAGATACTGATCTGGATACTCTGTATAGAAGGGGTTCAGTCACCTTGAGTGTAGTATGTTACAAGAGGATTGAACATTAAGGATTTAACATTCAACTATGAGCTGGATCACACAAGTACCACACACTGAGTGCACCATGCTCCCGCAGCCATTTCACCAGTACAAATTGTAAACTCTTGGCAGGTGACGGAGCAGCCTATCGCGATGTCCTGATAGAGTGCAACGTCATCCCAGCCTTGCTTGCTCGCATCTCCCCAGACACACCAGTAAGTATGCAACACAGGTCTTAAAAACCCTGGGTTACCTTTAGGTGTGGAATTTGTGTGGATGGACTATACCTTATCACTGACAGGTGAACACTTTATATGATGATTCAAAATTCATTGGCACCTGGGACCAAATCCCTGCTGCACTGTTAAAATGGGGGGGGGGGAATGCAGTACATTTTCAGTTATGGCCAATGCAAAATAACTTAACGTGAACATTTCAAACTGCAGGTTGGATATCTGCGTAACCTAACATGGACTCTGTCTAACCTTTGTCGAAACAAGAACCCGTGTCCACCCCTGTCTGCTGTCCAGCAAGTAAACAAAAGCATTGTTATAGGGCTCTAATGTTCACTCACAGCTGTTTATATCGGTAAGACTAAAGAGCTGTGTCCATTCTTCCTTCAGATGCTACCTTCTCTGATCCAGTTGCTACATCTCAATGACAAGGACATCCTGTCTGATGCATCCTGGGCAATCTCCTACCTTTCAGATGGCAACAATGATCGCATCGATGTTGTGGCCAAAACTGGCATCATCCCTCGGATAGTGGAGCTCATGAGCCACAAGGAGCTCTGTGTCATGGTACTGTGGTTCTGTCGGACTACAGACCGACTCTGAGCCTAAAACTTAACTACATGAATTTGACGGAGTGTTTTCATCCGGAAACGTGAGCATTTGTATCTCTAAAGATGTCATGATTGGCACCTATCTGCGCTTCAACTTCCAGACCCCCGCTCTCCGTTCCATTGGGAACATAGTGAGTGGCTCTGACCTGCACACGCAGATGGCGATTGACGCCGGTGTCCTCACCATCCTACCAGACCTGATGAGGCATCCAAAAGCCAACGTGCAGAAGGAGGCGGCGTGGGCACTGTCAAACATCGCCGCCGGACCTTGTAAGCAGATCCAACAGGTCATAACCTGCGGCCTGCTGCCTTCCCTGGTGGAACTGCTCAGGAGTGTAAGTGGCTCTCAGACCATTTTTTTTTTTTCTTTCAAAAGGCTATCAAGAACTTATTTTGATAACGAAAGCCCGAATGTAAACTGCCACATTTGACTTTTCAAGTCACATCCACTTAATCTGTCACTATTTGGAGCAAAGTTGTACATTTTGGAATTGACACTTTAAACTGGCTTTAGTTGTTTGATGTCCCAAAGCCTCCATTAGCTGAATGCATTTCCTTTTTTTTGGTCTTCTCAAACTTTGATAAACTTTTCTTCTCAGGGAGACTTTAAGACTCAGAGGGAGGCAGTGTGGGCAGTGACAAACTTCACCAGTGGGGGCACCGTGGAGCAAGTGGTCCACTTGGTGCAGAGCGGAGCCTTGGAAGCGGTCATCAACCTGCTCCAGGTCAAAGATGCTAAAGTCATTCTAGTCATACTGGAATCCATCAACAACATGTTCATGGTGAGAAACTGAGGAAGTTAAACTTCAAACTCTTAAAGCCAGCTTTACTGTCCGCTCTAAAGCAGACATTGACCTGGCTTTCAGGCTGCAGAGAAACTGGGAGAAACGGAGAAGCTCGGCATGTTGGTTGAAGAACTTGGAGGACTGGAACGCATTGAAATGCTGCAAAACCATAACAATGAAATGGTGTACCAGGCAGCACATAACCTACTAGAGAAATACTTCAATGATGCAAGTTTAACTTTACTCCCTCCGTTTTAGATTGAACTCTTGTAGCATCACACTTGTATCTTTGGCTACTCGAGTGTATGTACATGTCTGAAATCTTACTAATTTCTCCCAGGGTGAAATTGAGGCAGTCCAGGTTGATGCGACGCAGGATGCATTTGAATTCCAGACCTCGGATGCCCAAAGAACCTTCGAGTTTTAAAGTGTTTATGTAAAGCAAAATAAAATGATTTGTCACTGCTTCTTGCCTACATGTGATCCTGTCTCTTGTCTAGAAAACAAGGCTAAGGCATGCATATTGTCCCAAAAAGCTTGTAGAATGAGGTCAACTGACCGTGGATGAGCCATCAGTGGTGTCCACTCCGAGCTCAAGATTAAGGTTCGACACAGCAACCTAATGTTTAACAGTTCATGCATAAAGTTCAGATATGGCCTCAGAATTTGAAGCAAATGAATTCCAAATGAAGATTAAAGCTGAAGGGCAGTGCAAAATACAAATGGTTTAACATTTGGTTTGTTCCTTGTATTTAACCCATTCTGAAGATGTACAAAAGTAACATGGTGTTCAGAGGCAGCACAGAACTGAAAATTTTGTACGCAAACATTCTCAATTTTCCATGACCTTGTATTTAAAAAAAAAAAATGATTTACACTATTGGCACCACTTAATGGGAAGCCTCACAAACACCATATGCTAATAAAATGAGTTAATTGAAAATCCATCTTTGAGTCAGTTTAATATAAACTATTCAGTATGTACAAGACACTTATCAGACACAGTTAATTCATCTTTGACACAATGCTGAGAATACATTTGCAGTTTACATGTACAGCATCTCAATATTGGCCCACTTGAGTGGTGTCAACCTACCAGATGAAAATTTGAGTCCATGTGGGACTTTTACATCCTTGTTTCCACATGATTTACAACTATATTAGCCACTTTTAATTTCCTATGAAAGGTTTGTTCAGCATCGTTGGACATTAAAGCATCCTGACTGTACTAAGCTGTCTTTGCATTTATTTCTGAAGGCATTCAAAACAATGCACTCCCAGTTATTGTGAACAGGACTGTTCTTGGCAGAGACGATGTTTCCAGCAGAAGCACCAAACCTTTTGGCCTTTTACTGGTCTAAACTTGTCCATCTACATTTTCTCATAGGTAAGTTCATGTCCACAGGTGGTGCAGGTCTTCTTGTAGAGGTCCTCCTCTGGGTCCACCACCTCCTCTGGTCCGTACTCATGCTGGTGTACGCTGGTGTTTTTGGTCCACATGCTGCTCCTCACTGCCCTGCGTAGCTCTGACACACACGCAGAGTAGGCGTCAATCAAATAGCATAACTTGTGTTGAATTTAACCCCCCCACCCTGCTATTGCATACTTGAAAACTAACCTTTGACCTTCTTGTTGAACCGCTTTTGTTTCTGCACCTCTTTGTTTTCTTCCCTCGTCTCTCTGGCCTCCTCCAGGGCCTCCTCCGAACCCCAAACATCCATACATCTCTTTACCACCTGGGAAAGGCATTTGCACAAAATGCCATTTTTATAAACGTGACATATCCCACATTGAGAAACAAAGAAAAAAAAGCTGTGTGCACCTGAGTGAAAGACTTTGTGTACCTGTAGCTTGAGGTAGAGTTTCATATCCCCCCAGCGTGGGTTATGAGGGTTTTTCCTCAGGATGAACCTGAGAGGAGGCTCTCTTTTGTCGAAGTCGCAGTCTTTCAACAGATATTGATTCTTGGCCTCTGTTCTAGTGATCAACTTGTGCTTTTCCTCGTTGTCTCTTAGCGGGAAAAAAGGCTGCAACTGTCAATTTGTATTCTAAATAGTTGGAAAAGTTACAATAAATCACATTAAAGATATTCAGTGAAAATATTAACTTGGACAATGCGTCCTTAAATCAAGCTAATGCAAACACACTGTTTTTCAGAATGGGTTGCAATTGGATGGATGTTTCACTTCCTCTTTTATTATTCTACTTAATGAATCTAAGTCAAACAAAAAAAGACCTTTGCGTGTGTTTGAGTACCTGCACTTGTCACACACAGACAAGTCAAAGCTGTTGCTGAGAAAGGAGTCCATGAAGGGCTTTTGGCACTCGTCGCACAGCAGGTATTCAGGTTCAATCACCGGAGCTGAGAACAGAGCGCGCGACACTTAAAACACTAACGTGGACAAATGCGCGCGCACAAAGACGCACTCCTTGGAAACGCACAAACACACCTGGCTGATGCACCACCTGCTTGGTGTCCTGCTGGCCCCCTCCGTCCTCCTCCTCCTCGATAAAGAAACCGGCACCGGAGTCGATGATTTTGGAAACTTTGGCCGAGGTAGCGCCCTCCAACGCGGACAGCGGGCGGCTGGCTAGTCGGGCTTGTCGGAGCATCAACGCTCGCTGTCGGTTCCTCTCGATTTTAGCCCGCATCGCTGCCGAAAGTTCGGGTTTGGGGTTCTGTTCGCGGTCAGGATCAGCTCCCTTTGACTCTGGTGGATCCATGCTGGTCTAATGCAAAACAGTGTGGGCTGGTTGTAGTCATACGAGGCGCTTTGTTCCAATGTTGTTATAAAACTGACAGCGGCACACTTCCGCTTTCTTCTTCTGCGTTGTAAAACGGTAGCTTACATCCCCGAAGTAGCAATACTGCCATCCACAGGATGACACCCGAAGGCTCGACCACGTCATCCGTTTTAATTTCCCTTAATCACAGGGTTTTTTAAAAACAAAACCCAGGACACAAAGTACTTTTGATGATGTCATAATTTTACACTTAACTGTTAATGGCAATTATCACCTAAGTCAGGCTGATGTTTTCTCAGAATACCATTTAAATTATTTCAAATGACTATTTGAATCACCATCACTATTTTCTTGTTCACTTCGTCATTTATTTTTCATTTTCTTTCCCATTCTGTCTCATGCTCCAAAGGAGTTACCCCTCTATATTAGCTGATTCCACCCCAGACTCTTTGGTTTTGATCATCATGGAGAGTTAGACCTTATTCCAGCTGTCATTGGATGAGAGGCTGGGTACAACCTTGACTGGCCTCCAGTCCTTACTTAGGTCACACAGGGACTAAGTATATGCCCACACATTTCCTTCTGAGGTCAGTTTAGAATAACAGGTCAACCAAACGTGTGTTTTTGTACTGTGGGAGTAAGCCGGAGTACAAGGATAGAACCCACACATGCCAAGTGAGGAGGTATATCCTCAGATATCCCCGGACGCCGATAATAAGAGCAGAGGTGAGCATGTCCTTTGCTGATTGTCCTCAAGTGTCCCACTAATCTCAACCACATAACGCCAAGCATGGCGTTTTGCACTGCATAATGAGAGGATTCTGTCAATATAAACATTATTTAGTACTGATGAATGTTGCTGCAAATTAGTCAAAAGTTGTGTTGAATTTTAAAAGGTGGCTCGACAAAATTGTGAAGTCTCCACAAGATGAAGTAAACCTACAGGAACTCAATTAAAACCCAACATTGATTGTTTTGAAAATTTAATTTTTCATTTGTTTGTCCATAACACTTTTTACAGAGATGAATAATATATGTTTTTACAGTATAGTACATGATTCAAGTAGTACGTGAATAAAGTCTTCCATACATACATAACACATGAGGGAATTACAACACCATTTTGCCATTTGTCATGGTATTGAAATTATTATGAACCTTTGTTCGTTAATGCACTCATTCATACAAACATTCCTTACCTTCAGATGATTCATAAAAACAAAAGAAGAATTGAAGTGGTACTGCATAGACAAGCTACATCTGAACTGGAGTGTGAGATAATAAAATTGTGGTGTTTATAAACTACTGCATGTGTTGACTAAGACTACATACAGGAGCTTATATTCTCTTACAATATGTCTCCATGTACATTTTACAAACTTATTCATACATATAAACACATAATTACACACAGATTTTGACATTTCGAACAGATGGAGGAAAATTTCTGAGGCTTAGAACATAAAAAAAAACTTTGGAATGTAGAACTGATTTTGTGATTAATTTCTAAAAAAGGAGAAGCATATTTGGATGTCTAAAAATGCTTTAGGTTTAAATCACAGAAAGAAACACAAATGCAAATAATATGTGAATAAAACTTCCAAGACCAGATTGTCATTTTAAAGTTATCACGCAGAATATAAAAATTCTAAAAAACAAAATATATATGTGTATATGTCGTCAAACAAGATGCCATCATTCACTTTCAGTTATCTCAAATGTCATTTGAGGATTGCAATGAAAATTTAGTTCAAGGGTTCCCAATTTCTGCACTAATATACAGGAAGATGGAAGATGAGTTGTCCAAAGTGAAATGATAATTTATTTAAAACCAATTTGTAGCACAGACGCATCTCAAGTGTATCACTTCAGAAGCAACTGATAACAACAAGATGGATGAAAATGACACTAATCAGAAACCTAGCTGCTTCAGCATGGTTCTTTTTTTAATTCAGACACTACTTTATTGTTTATGAATTGTAACTTCCACAGATTAACTCTAACGACTTTTTGAAACCTATTGTAATATCTAAGAGGGAAAAAATACCTTGGTGGCAAACATGTGATTTCTTTTTGACATGCACAGATAAATAAATGAGGCAAATTCTGGCTCGCACTCCTTAAGTACAAAATACATTATATTTTTGTGGAATTTATGTTTATGTTTATGCATTTGGCAGACGCTTTTATCCAAAGCGACTTACAGAGTGGAATTTCTGCCACCATCCGAGTGTGCAAGGGAGTCTCTCTCTCTCTGGTTCTATTAATGTTTTGTTTCTGTTCCTGATGAAGTGTGTGCTTATGCTGGTCAGAATACCTCTTCATTTTTTTTTAAGCCATGTCAATAATCAGAGTGGTGCCAGAGCCACAATAAGAGCAACAATATGCCTGGTTATCATATGTGAATTTAAAAAAAACAAGTATGAGAAGTCAAAAGTAAAAAATGTGACAGAAACAGTTGATGATACTTTTGACATCAAATACTTCCTTTTAAAAATAAACACATTCAATTTGGGGATACCCTATGTCAAATAGAAACAGCAAAACAGAAAAAACAGTCTTTTGTCTTTAAAGCAAATTCAGGAAATGTATGTTATCCCTTTGTAAAGTGGCAGATGTAAAGGCAGCCAGAACAGATAATGTCTTGCTCACTAGCTCATTACAGTACATGAAGAATCCAAATAAGATATGTGGTATATATATGTTTAGACATAATGATCACCATAGCCAGTTAAACTACGTAGATGTACTCTGCATTTCATTAACATGAATTAGTTCAATGTTAAAATATCTATTTCTTCCAAAAAACTTTGACCTCAGTCTGAAATCAAAGTAACACCCAAACTGTTACTATTGAATATTCTACTGTGTCTGAAATTGCACAATCAGTCCTGCTGGAATGCACACAGATAAATCCCGAAGGTCTCTGGAGCAGCTATTCCAATTTCATGTTGTATCTTCCATTAGAATTTGTCCATGAACAGATTCCCATTTTTCTCAATGCCAGAGTTTTTTTTTAAGCAACACAATGCCTCTTTGACTCTTTGAACATTTCTAAGTTACATGGTTACACATAACTTGGTTGCATGTGTGAGGGACATGCTTCTTATGCTACCATGAAATCCTTTAGCAACACAAAAAGGTTTCTTATAGCCTTGAGTTTCCATCTCTGGATGCCCATTGGTTGATTCCAACAGGGTGACTCAGAAGTGACAATACGAAGTATACACAGGGTACCGAGAAAATCTGGCCTAAAATCTGTTATACAGAAAAGGCCTGTATGCCACTGTTCAATAGCTGTGATGCACTGGCGTCACTGGCAAGGTTGACGTACATCACAACTCCTGCTTAACCAACATCGACAACCTGTGAGTGTATGTATGTATGTGTGTGTGTGTGCGCGCGCGTGTTTGCAATACAGTATATACTGGGTGCATGAAAATCAGTTTCTGTGTATGTGAGAGTGTTACTGCACTCCTATCAGAAGTAAAATCTTTCATTCGGTCAGCAGAAGCCCTGCTCTCAAATGGTGACGGGGCACACAATGATTTTGTCCTCAAGCATGACGCTGACAATGAGGAAGACAAAGTAGAGCAGGAACATGAGAAGGCCCAGAAGTTTACTCATCCTCCACTTACAAGCCGCAATGGAGATGATGACAAAGAGGAGCATAAGGAAGAGGAGGACGATGGCACAGAACAGGCCGTTGCTGCTGACCTCCACTGGCTTAAAGTCATTGATGATGTTATAGATGAGCCATGGGAATGGCAGGCTGCGGGAGGAAGAAAGCAGATGAAAACGGGTCAGAGAATACAATAGTTACGTTTCGATCGTGTCTTAATCTAACGTGGGTTTCCTTTTTTACTCACCCCACGGTTATATCGAAGATGTTGGAGCCCACTGAGCTGGACACAGCCATGTCGCCGAGCCCTTTTCGTGCCACGATCACACTGGTGATCAGGTCAGGGATTGAGGTTCCAGCTGCCAAAATGGTCAAACCCATAATTTCTTCTGTGATCCAGAAAGTCTCTCCGACCTAAAATGAGTGAACATTGAGAGGCTTATGAAGAGAGGAACACATCTACCCATCAACAGTCTCTTGATCAGTCTTCCTGCCTTGTTCACAAGCCTACTGGCACATATTCTTTTGTACATCTAAGGCCTGATTTAGTCATTTTCATCATGGTTCCAGTTTGTTTTAGTGTTGACAAAAAAAATCCTTCAGTGTTCAATTAATATGAGTAACCTGGAGAAAAAAGACAAGTGAAAACTTTTCAAGTGATAAAATAAGCATTCAGATTTTCATACATTGATTCCTTTAGTGTCACTATATCTCATTCAATCTTTTTTTAAGACATGCCTATGAAAGATACCACCACAGATGAGTCTGCACTGTGCAATACTTGCAGTAGTGAAACTGTGGAAGAATATCATTAAAAAAAAAGTATAATTTCATCATCGAATAAATCAACTATGTTGGTGGAAGAGAACATTAGAAATATTGATCCATGGGCAACAGAGAGGAGCTATATGCTGAAAACAACCAATGTGAAACAATCCCATATCGGCTGTTTGTGTGTCTGCTGGCACTTTAAGAAGTTACATGTAAAGCCCCAGTAGAAGTGACCAGTGAAACACAGAATACAGTATGTTGGCTGTCTTCTTATACAATCTAGGCTAGTTTTAGAAAATCGATAATACCTTCTCTTTGAACACAGGGCATGAAAGGAAAAAATACGTTTGAATATTTATACCTGGTGAGCCCACCACACCATCAGGTAGGAGAAGAAAGCTATCCAACAGATTGACCCAATGAAAGCGATGGGGAAGAACCTTTCTGCGCTCTGGAACAATGAAAAAGAACCTCTTAATCAATCAAACAGGTCATTTCCATCATTAGATCAGGTAATAAACACTTTACTTAAGACATGCCAGATGTTTTACAACTTGGGTTCCAAAAGGTTTCCAAAACTGTTCAATTAAATATTTAGAATAGAACACAGCCAAATAGTAAAACTGACACAATTAGTCGCTTCTTTAAACCAAATATCTTATGTGTTCCATCATTTATTGTTGGTGGAGGTTCTCTATTCCAGGTCACGAATAGACGATCTTGAATGAAGGCATCTTGATGTTCTCTTGGATCTGGAGGACATTTCCCCTCTAATGCAAAAGGCTACCTCCGTTCTCCTGAACTGAAGAACCAGAACAACCAACCGAGTTTTTACCGTCCAGCCTGGCTCTTACTTTGCTGGTTCTCACTTGGTGAGAACCAGGTGGTGAGTCGGCATCAGGAAGCTTTTCACTGCCGGCTTAGTCCTTTGGCTCCTTTGTCAGCCATGGTTATGCTGGGTTCTCCGCCTAGCTTGAACTTATGTCTGCGACTCATCATTGGATAAATTGACTAAGACGATCTGAATGCCGTTGAGAGAGCGTTTAAAGTTGGCTCTTTCGGTGTGTTTACCTCTCTCCTGACATCAGGCAGCGTCAGCCACAAAGGGAAGACAATGGGCAGGATGACGAGGTAAGTGATTTGTTTCCTGGGGGTGTCAGGCCAGGCCAGACTCAGAGGCTGGTTTTCATCATCGTCGTCGTCCTCACCACCCTGAGAAGGAGTTCATTACCTTACATTGTGTTCTGTACATTTACCTCTGCATAACAATATCAGTTCAAATATTTTGGTTGGGAAACAGAATTAGAACTCACTGTATTTTCTTTTCAAGAGCATTCACCGTATACAATTTGCTGATGCAAAGTATGTAAAACTTTGTTTAAAAAAATGTGACATACCTGCTCTCCCCCAGCAACACCATTCATGGGGGGTGTGACTTCGACTGCAACCTTTGAACTATTGGGAATTTTTCTATCAGCTTTTGGTGGAAAAAGACAAGACACAGGGTTAATATTTTATTCGAAAATTAATTTAAAAAAGAATCCAATTGTTTGCTATCCAGTTACCTTCATATAACTTACATTAAAGTGGTGAAATTAAAAAAAAGGAACAAAGGCTGAGTTGATTGCTAAGAAATGTATACATCAGATTCAAATCAGCGGTAGCTGTACACACCTACACCGTTGGCATTGGCAGCTTCATCTTTACACTTCTGCTTGGCCATCTTGTGTAGGATCGATGCCTTCTCCCTGAATTGTCCTGTAACGCCCAAAGGACAAATTTCAGTCACTCCCATGTGATGTACAGCCAAAACATGTCATGTATTTCAGGAATTTGCATTTGTGTGTGCAATACCTTCATCACTGAGGGGGTCCAGTGTGTGTATCATGAGCTGGAAGATACTGTTTCTCATCAGTGAGTTGTGGAGAGAAGCACAGCTTCCTTCTCTCTGCAGCTTGGGTTTGGCCTGTAAAAGACACAATAAAACCAAAAATGAGTTTTAAGGAACATTCAGTCAGGTTTGAATGACTATACTTCATCTGTGCATTATGTTTTCTTTACTTTTACTTTTATTGTGATTTTAATTTTTGGGCAAGTCATCAATCAAACATCTTTTTGTCTATTTTGCCACAAATAGTAATGTAAACACTGACCTAAACTTTATATGTGTCATAATATTGTGCAGAGATACAAACCAAACTCACTGTCAGCCTGTTCTCATCATCTCCGTTTGCCTTAAGTGAAAAAACAAAGAAACAATTACTTTGATAGCAATAGACACATTTATCATTTGATACCACTATTCTAACTTTGATCTGGAAGGGATCTTAGATAATGCCAATTTGATCAAACCTGTGTTACTTTCAATAAAAAGCTTTTTTATCTATCAATAAATTAATCATACTTATATACTGTAATTGTATATTTATGTAGACGTAAGTCATCCTTGGCTTTCTCCTGATGTCAGCTGCAATAAGCACCAGGGCCCCTGTCATCAGGGTGGATGGATGGATGGATGGATTAATTCAGTAAATAAAACTTTAATCTATTCCTTTTTGTTGTTGGATGGGAGACAGAGAATCATTTCCTGCATAGATTCTTCAGTATTCATCAATATAGATATAGATACTCCCAACTAAATGTAAGAAACATAAATATAAAAAATGATGATAATTGAAAAATAGTCCTTTGTAACATTCAGCAGTCAGACAAGAGAAAAGTGGAAAAGATGGTAAAACTTGGGAGAATTAATTTTTCATCACCTTGACAGCACCGAGAGGTGAGGAAGTTAATCCTCAAACTGTGACAAAGATCAAAAGAATTACAGTTTTATAGCAATTTATCCAAATTTACTGAAACTCCTGTTTTGGAAGAGAAGCTATTTAATTTCCTAGTGCTACATTTTGTAACATCCCAATTAGGGGGGAGAAAGACCCCCAACGTAATTTAGGTGTGAGACATTATTATCTTTTCCTTATTTAGTCTTTAAAACCAGGGTTTTTCAATGGAGCTCAAATGTGCTGACTACACACGCAATGTGAAAGTCTCAGTTATCTGAGTCCCAGTCAGTTATTTGATGGTATATAAACAGAATATCACTGTTTCCACAAAGAAAAACACCCTCCAACAGTCCAGCGACAGTGGTCCGGAGAGACAAAAGATTTATGTGAGTGGAGCAAGTATTTGGAGACACGAAGTCTTTGTGGGTATACATACTGTAAATGTTTACATAAACGGCATAAGTACATTTCCAAAAAGGTCTATATTTGATTAATACGAACTTCGTGTGTATATGCTGGTGTACTAAAAAAGCAACTAAGCTCTGCTTCACCACATGTCACTGAGCTCCTTATCTCTGCTGCGAAAAACCTGTTTTATATGTCACGGGACTTTTGAGCAGATTAATCTGTCAGATCAAGACAAGGTCAATGAAAAGGTCCAGCAGAGAGCCTGATATCATTCAGCACTAATAGGAGGGGAAAACAAGCATATTTACAAAAAAAACAAATAAGAAATTAACTGTACTCACAATTCTTAAAATTCTTAAATCACTGTGAAAAGTGCTATGATTATAACTGTCAATCTTCAGTGTGTGTTTTTGTTCAATATATGGTAATGACTCAGTTGGAGAAAATGACCTTTGAACACACGGTTCTGCCTGTATATATTTGCCTAGATTCCTAGTTTCAAATAAAGCAGGAAGTAAATTGATAATCTGACTAAATACATCCAAATATTTTTTTTTCACGACTGTAATATTCCATGTTATGGAGGCAAAATCATCCAAAATCTAAACCTTTAGAATGTGTTACCCTGTAGTGAACATGTGCCATTAGGCAAAAGCCATTCAAAAGGTAAAAACGGCATTAAACATACATAGATATGTTATATGTTTCGCTCATAAAGCAGCAGTCTTATTTTAGTTATAGATTTGTCAAATACAACAGTATATATAGCTTCCATATCAATTATTTTCCAATTGCATATCAGACCATTGGTGTGATTCCTCAACTAGATCATAGCATGTCATTTATTCACTTTAGCCTTTTATTTGTATTCCTTGCTGAATATTTACTGAATATTTGCGAATGGATGTACTTTTTGTCATTCAGGAAGTATTCTATGTATTTTTCCGTTGTGCAGCTTCATTTACATACCAGTGACAGACATTAGAGGAAATATACGTCATTGCCATAATGTTTCAAAGTGAATGAGGAAATGGAACCACAACCGTTAATTTGCTTTTGCTTTTCACAATTCCTATCAGAGGAAACTAATATTGTATAAACACATAAAGACATACACAGTGTGGAAGAGTGCTCTTTTCAACTAATAATTTAGGATGTTTTTTTTCATTCAGTGTCCAAACTGCAGAGCATGTTTTCATTACATAAACCCCTGAGTTCGAGAGGATAATCTCTTTAGCCTGCAACCCGACAAAACACCTCCTGCTTCGGCAGCTGAACAAAAGCAGGGGATGTCCATTTTGTTTTTGAAATAATATCTATCTATCATACCTTTTTGGTTTATGTGCAATGCAGGACAGAAAAAGCTACTGTCAACACAGGCATGCATTTCCCACATTTAATTACAGTTCATTGCTTTTATGTCGTTCACGTTCAGCTGAAAAACACCCACAGAAAACTGTTGAAACCACCTGTAAACCATTTTCCTGCTTCTGGGAAAACTCCCTTTTTTACTAAATGACGACTATATCCAATGGACGTGGAACTCAGGCGAACAGAAGATAAGAGATAAAACCAGAGCAGCTGACAGGCATGATGAAGCTGTTGACACGTCTCTATTATCCTTCCTTGATCTTGATGACCTCATGAGACTTATCAGAGCTCCTCGGTGGCTAAGGACACTTCCAGCCCGCAGCAGAAATCGCTCAGACTGTAAATTACATAATTCTATGGAGTAGAGATTCTTCTGATTTTAAATGACATCCTAAAGTGTAGTACAATATTTGAGCCATAACATTTATGTTTCACAGCCAAGTCAACAACACACTATTTGCATTTTTCTGTGTACTTTTCATGAAAATTTGAGAAATGATTATCTTACATATGCCCCTTCTTGTATCTCGTAGCTATCATTCCATTTGTTCTGCCATGGAACCGCAACGTCCCAGTGAGTTTAACACCATTTAAAAACATTAATAAACATACACCAAGAAGACAGGAGGTTTCTGAAACATTCACAATCGCCTTAATATTTTGTTTACAAATGATTTCATATCTACAATTATGAAGTTTATCTGAAATTTTTGCTAATAAAGAATCAAGGTGATTATTCACAATCACCATTTTTGAGGTTATTCAAAACTTGCAATAAGTGAATTAATTTGTATTGGTATGGTTCATATATGCTTCATAGGAAGTTAAAAAATGATGCCTTTCCACGTTCCCTGTCAGTTGGTTGCCCTGTATATGCATTTCAGATATTTTATTGATTAGGAATAATGAGCCACCAAAGCCAACTGTGAGGTCACACCCTCTTTGACCAATCTGCTGTGTTCTTTCAGGCAGACAGATTTAAGGGTACCAGCGCACAAACATAGTATTACAGAAAATGAATGGTGCCATAGCAGCATGAAGTGTAAGTTTATTCTTGTTATGTTTCTTGTTTTTTTCTTTAATGGAGCAACGTGTACGATTTTGCAACATTAAAATTTACCGACTGAATTATCCTACAACTCTCATCCCATTTCCCATGGGTGGGCATAACAACTAAAAATGAAAGTCTGGACTACTGTGGAAACATGGAAGTGGTAAATAAGAGACCTGTGGTCTGTGTAGGGGCAAATTATTTGTTTAATTTTAAAATTGTATTATGGCATTTTTTGCCAAGCAATCCCTTGAATATTTGAAACCTTTTCAGTGAGGCAAACTTGGATCAAATTCACATGAATTTCTACATCATGTGAATATTTCAACAGACTTCCATTTTTGCTCATTTTCTCAGGCCCTCCAGACACAATGCTTCAGAGGATATGGTAAAACTACCCAGGTGAAGAGTCCTGACCTGGGGTCAGCCGATTTACACCAGGCTTTCAACCTCATCCCGATTAACATCATGTCACCATGGTGCAATCAGATCAACTTTCTTTCTGCACCACTCTCTCCCTCCCATGTCCACCTGACCGTCCGAGCTTATCCAGGATTAATCTGCAGAGATCACCACTTTTAGACTGGAAATTTTCAAACTTGCGTGTGAAGTCCCATACGAACTCTCTCAGGTCAGAGTGCAGTTGTACAATTCTCTGTACTCTCAGCTGTCAGCTAAATTATACAACAAAGTCTTTTACCGCAATTTCATTAGGGTCTCAGCCAAAACTTTCAGAATTATTCTTTTCAGTACAACTGGAGTGCAATTTATTGCTTGTGACAAGACATTACTGCATTGGGGAGAATTCTTGTGGAACCCATATTGCACTTCTATGTCTAAGACTCAAAGCTGTCAGCAAAAAGCTTTGTTTTTTTATTCTGAATGGACTTAAATAGTTGAATAAAATCACATCAGCAGTTTAATATTGAACTGTGAGTGATTGACTTTGCCAACATATTTGTCAGTATCCTATAAAACAAGTCCAACAGTGAATGCTTCAAAGAGTTTACATCATGTCATGTTTGTTTGAATGGTACGATTTATCATCTCGCACATGTTTATGTTTCGCAACAAGAATTTGAACACTTCTTAATTACTCTGTAGACACAAAGTGACTGTTCTGGCTGGGGTTTGCTGTCGTCATTGCAGGTAAGCAGTGGATAAGGGGATCAGAGAGGATTGCTGAATTTAGTACCTTCAGAGAGCAAACCTGAAGAGCTGTCCCTCTTACATAGACCTTCAATCAGCCCATACAGTGCAAAGACAACTAAAGTAGATTCCACGAAAATGAAAACCAACCTTTTTTCTCAAACAAGAATGCCAAGAAAGGCACATTATTGCCCCCCTCCTATCAGAAGATGTGCTGATACCTGCTCCCCCAGGGAGTGTCTGACTATTATTAGTGTCTCTGATGGGATTGAAGAGCATTAACCTGGAGGATTATTTAGCAGCCACTGACACATGAGGGCAAGGCAGCTGGACATCAAGTGCTGTGGAAAGGACAAGAAAAGCTGCTCTTGGGGCTGAAGTCAGGCAGCCCTGAAGAACAGCTGATTCCCAGAAGGACACGCATGTCCGACAGACAGCACTTATGCAACAGCACTGCTGCTTATAGGACGAGCAAAGAATAGATGTTTCAATACAAGATTTTTAGTGGGTAACTGATTTCGAGACGACAAAATATACGGTAAATGTTTAAAGTGACCTATTACGTCTTATATCTGCTTATCTCAACTTTTTTTTCTACTTAAGGTATTTGAGGCGAGAGGCACTGAAGCATGTGAAGTCATACAAGAGGCAGGATTATAAAGTCATCTGCAGCCGAAAACATAGGAGCTTCTTTCATGCGATCACAAAAAGAAATGAGAAAACTTTTTATGGTCTTCAAAAACGACAACCCATTAACATCTTTTATATCTGAAAGGTTGTTGCACAAGGCCGCCAAGAGGGTTCTGGGTTCAAGTCCCCAAGAGAACCAGGATCTTTTCTGTGTGATGTTTGCATTTTCTCCCTGTGTCTGCGCGGGTTCTTTCCGGGTTCTCTTGCTTCCCCCCACCGTCCGAAAACCTGCATGTTAGGTTGATTGGACATTCCAAATTGCCCCCAGGAGTGAGTGTGAGTGTGTGTGGTTGTTCATCTTTGGTCCTATGATGGACTGGGGGACCGTCCAGTACCCCCCTGCGACTCCATTTAGGAATAAGTGGTTCATAAAATGGATGGATGGAGGTTAATGTACTTCTTAAAAGGTAGAACTTGACAATGCAGGTTCCCTTGTGTGCGGCACCTCCATGTATAATGGCCTTCCATCCATGAAGAGATGGAAGGCGATGTTCGAGTGCAGGCAACCGGCTGCGACTTCACCAATATTAATGCATTGTTAGATTGGACCATCCAAAACAGAGATTATATGCAAAATTCCAAAGCATTGTCAAAGCAACCCAGAAACAACGACCAAAATAGCACGTGCTGAGCTTTGTGCAAGACATGGAATGATGCCTCTTCAACATGAATCTATTCATTCATGTGTTGTTTATTATCAAAAGGTGCAATTAGTCTCTGATTGAGATCATTAAAAAGAAACTGATGCCATCAAAATGTCTCCTCATTTCTTAGATTTTCAGCTCCAAGATCAAAACAACCTTTTCAAAATGTCAGTTTCAACTATTCAGTTGGACACAGAAAAGCTTATTTTTTAGCTCTTTGTGCTTGGTTAGATGAACTACATGCTCATAAATGAACTCACAAGAGTCACACAGCACTCAGAGCTTCATCCATCCTTCTGGGTCTACTGTTTGGGGAAACTTTAAGTCTCAAGGCAAGAAAATAATAGAGAGTCTATTCTTTCTCACGTCCTCAATTCAGTTTTTAACTTGATTTCTTAAGTCTTTTCACCAATCAGCTGTGATTTGATTTACCATGTTATTCAGCTTTACCTATTCCCAAAATGATTAACAAATTAAAACAAATCGAAAGACTATATTTTGACTCATACAATATCTAAATATTTTATACTACTTCTAGACATTTTTAAAAACTTAAAGGTTTTACTGTCTGCAGGTAGCCTAGCTATGTGATTTTTAGCTGGAATTCCTATAATGGAAATATTTTTTCAGTCAGAAGGGCAACTCAAATCACAATTGTTCTCCTTTAAGTATTTTGGACCTCTGACTCAAAGGCTGTGATTGCTCTGGAAGCAAATCATTTGCAAAGCCAACATTTACAAATGCAAACCTGCATCTTTTGTGGAGTTAGATCGACGAAGAAAAATCTACCTGCAGAAATCTTATGAAAGTTGGTATAAATGGAAGCTCAGCGAATAAAGAAAATCAAGGATCAGTTTGGCTCTGGTTGAGATCAGAATATTCTAGTTGTGCTTGTATACTTTCTTTGTAGTACAATTTTATAATAACATTGATCATATCTGGCTGAATAGTGACATTATCTAAGCTTTCATTGTCATTTCATATATGTATATACAAATGTATATATGCATGGAAAATTAATCTTTTGTTTCTTTAATAAGAACATTCTAACTAACACAAGCTGTCATTGTCCAGATGGATTGAGTGGAGTGAATAAACTCTTTTCCTGAGATTTTTGCTGGCTGCTGGTCTGAAGGAGGTAAAAGCAGTGAGCATAAATGAAGTCTAGGCACAGACTCAGTCAGCACAAATACATCGCTGTATGGCTTCTTGTCTGAGCTGCACAGGTGAACGAATAATCTTTACATCCTTTGAAAGGGAAATTCAAAGACTTTTGGGCTCCAGACAGGCTGCAGTTTATTATGCATCTGTCTCAAAACATTTTAATAGTAATAACTTCACTGTGAAGAACAGTGTGTATTTGTGTCTTGTGGCAATGTCTTATTGTTAATTGAGATAAAAGACTGATAATCGACGTATTATCATTGCCGGTCAGCAGATGGATGAACTCGGTCGGACTTACCTTTGGTGCATTCTCCAGCTCATCCACTTGGTTGCCGCCCAGCTTGCTCTTGATGAGAAGTTCTACAGTGGAATTGAACTTCATGAATGTCACATAACAAATATAGCATGACAGTAGGCCGATGCTTTCTCCCAGCGTGATTTCATTATCCAGAAAGAAGTAGATGAGCATGAGCAACCCGATTATGTAGAAAGAGACGTCTCTGAACAGAGGCCACCAGGTGAGGTTCAGCACCTCCTTGGAGAACAGGGCACACATCCCTATCACAAACAGGATGTTGAAGACGGCTGAGCCCACGATGGTACCAATCCCCACATTACTGTGGGAGACGAACACTCCTATGACAGAGGTAAAAAGCTCTGGGGCCGAGCCACCCGCGGCCATAAAGGTGGCTCCTGCCACGTCGTCGGAGATCTCCAGCTTCTCTGTGATGACGGTGAGCGCAGGGACGAAGAACTCATCGCAAACGATGGCTAAGGCTATGAACATGTACAACATTCCAAACATATGAAGGACCACATAGCCCTGGCGCCTCTCCTCCACACTGAATAAGTCCGTCGGGTAGTCCCCCTGATTCATCTCAATGTCAGAAGACTTCATGGCCACTGGCGTGTCTTCTGGGGCGGCCGAGAGGTTGTGGTGCTGCAGAAGAGTTCTCTGGGGCAACGCTGCGTCTCCTGCGTCCTGACCAGCCGATTCCAGCTCAGATGCCACTGCTGTGGCCAGCGACAAGGCACTCATTGAGCAAACTGTGCAAACAGCCACCAGGCTGATGATGAAACCCAGAATCCGACCGGGCCGCAGCTTTCTTCTGATGCCCTGATAGTGTTGCCAGTTGCGGCCCGTGCTGGGACCCAGAAGGGGATCAGAGCAGGAGTAAGCTATCATATCTTGACTTCTCATGGGTGGCTTGAAATCCATGGTTTTTTTGGCCGAGGTTGTCAGGCAGATTGGAAGTCTGGAATCCCCGCCAAAGCTGGGTCACTGATGCTGGTGGCTACGAGGGCAGGGGTCTGACAGGCCACAGTGGCTTACCGGTTTGTTAGCATGTTGCTCCCAGGCCTAAACACAATGGAAGCCCAGCAGTCTTAATCCAGGATCGAGCACAGTCAAAGGTTTCCTCATATTACTCACTGCAAAAGAGAGAAAACAATTTGCAAAGATTTAAATATGGGCAAAAAATGACAACAGTTTAAACACAGAACAAAAAAAACAACTGCATAAGATCAGCCATTCTCCTGTAACAATAAGTAATAAATATAGACATGTCTATAGACATTCTAATAAATATAGAATGTCTGTTTTGTTTGGTTTAGTTTCTTTATCAAGGTTTTAGACATAATGTAAGATAGATGAGATATTTAGAATAGTAATAAGATGATGCAAACAGTCAAACTAAGAAAAAAAACAAAGAAAAAATGTATAAACCCTGTACAGTGAATATGATATTAGAGAAAGAAGAACAAAGATAAAATAGATGTAATATCCCAAAGGATAAATAGCCAAGAAGTTTTATCTTAGTGTTACTCAAATCTATTTTTAATTCATTCACCATTTAAAATTTAATTTTAAATTTAATTTTAAATTTAAAAATGGAGATAATGACAGAAATCTTGGCCCTCAACAGTAGAAGACTTTTCTATCTTAAATGCAGAACAAAGGTAAAATCCAGCTGTTTGAAATCCAGCCTGTGTGGTTGTATGGTCATGTGATCTGGTTGGACATCTGAGAAGCCACTGTCAATGCTGAATGATAAATACACTATAAAAGTTAGAAGAAAGGTCACCTCGAGTTGCCAAAAAGAACAGATAAGCAACAGAAATTGATGTCTCAACTTCTCAAATTCTGTCAAGGGATTGTTAATGCAACATAGCGATAAACAATATGAACAGGGAATTTCCCTCTGTCCGACATATTCATTTTCATTGGAAATTTGAAATATCATCAAACCCATAGAATGATTCATCGATATATAGGGTTGCATCATAATTTCTGACAACATGGTTGCGCTACAACTTGTGCACAAAATTTAAGCTCACATCAGTGAATGAGACTCAGGAATTTCTCTCCTAATTCAAAACCTGTAAAAATATGTATTGTTGAATCATAAAGTTCAAATGCCTAAATACATTTTAGCTTCTGCAAAAATCAACACATAAGAAAACCCTTTAATTGCAAATTTAATATGATGGTTGATGATTATGCCTCTTGCGGGCAAAATTCTACCAGCTTCTGATATAATTTTGCTCAATGCTCATTTGAGTTTCGATCTGAAAAGTTCATACAAAGTTTTTCTGAAAATAGATAATTTGAAGGAAAGTATTATTAGCCACATTTCTCTTAAAATGACAAAGCTTTCTGGTGTTGGAGCTTTTCTTTAACTGTAGCTTGGACATGAGTTAAAGCTCATTAAGAAGCGGTTTAATCCCTGAGAAGATATACTCAGATTAACTTAAGGCCCTGCACACCGGTGCAACTCCACAAAGTCAAAAATCAAAGACATACATGATATTAATTTGATGACAAATAAGAGCTGGAGACGTTCATTTGCACAGCAGTTGTTTATCTCTATACTACCAACCACAAATATCTTTTTCAAAGTTTCTTTAGAGGTCTGTTGGGTCTCAATGTCCACCATCGTGTTTTGCAAACACAATATTAAAGGTTTTCAAATTTCAAAACCAGCCACCCAGGTCTGGGTGGTCTGGGGAGTTACTTTGAGCTCTGGAGTGCCTTAGAGTGAAGAGAAAGCAACACTTTAATTGTTCTTATATTATAGCCATTTAAGTTCCCATACCACACTTGGATTTCTCTCGTTCTGCAGGAGGTCCTCCAGCAGGTAGCAGTCAGCCAGATCCTGAACTTCTGGGGGAATATTCCAGTCAATTGACACCCACAGCAGAACAATCCCAAGCTTCTTGTTCTCAGTCCGAAGGTCCAAACTGAAAATCCTAAGTGGGATTTTCATCTGTGAGCTGAGGAGGAGCTCAAAGACACCAGGTTAGAGTGGGCAACTCCCTCTTTCTCACTGTTCCTCCCCTCCCTGATACTGCCTCCCTCTTTGTCTTCCCTCTGTCATCTCTCGGAGCAATCAGTGCCTCATTTCTTCACTCCTCTTAGTACCGAGAGAGGTACCCTTCAGTGAAAACCCTCTGGTCTTCTTTCCAGCCACTAAAAACAAACTACTTCTTTACAGCAAACTGAGGCATTGTTGGAGCTGTGATTTACCATATCATTACTTCACAGTTCTTGGTCAAAAGAAAGGGGGGGGTAGCACTAATCCATGTCAGTCAGAATTAACTCTGCATGATATTGACACAAGTATGAGATGTAGGACTTTTGAAGATGTCAGTTTTGACGTGAAAAAGAAGGAAAACTGTGTCCAAAGTCTGTCCTGCAGCACCAGCGGCTGCAGGACTTGGAGCACTTAGATATAAATAAGTTGCTGCAAGTGATGTCATCCTGTCTTTAGTCTTTCATTTCCCGCTTGTCTATAACTGGCTCTGGATGCAACACCTGCTCTCATCAGGCGATCTTTTTCCCACAGTGAAGCCAAACAATACTGACACATGCTAATCTGAGCACCAGTACTTTACCTTTGATTGCATCAATACACTGCCATTTATACATCTTCGTTTTTAGAGTACCAAAATATTTCTGCGGTCATTACACTCTAATTTTTGTACATGGATTAGAAATGATCTTGTTTAGTCACTTATAAAGCCTGTGAATTTTTAAAAACTCTAAGCACAACGCTGCATAGACTGAACTCAGGACATCAATTAATAGCTGCATAGGAACATCTAAAGATGTTTCTTTTCTTATAGTATTTCCATTTTGTAATAGTACTTTAAAATTATGGAGGACTGTTAAATCCTTTACTGTGGATAACACATCTTGCGTGCACTCTGAAGGACTCTTGAATAAATCTCTGCTAAGGCCAGAGAACTTAGTTCTTTAAGTAAGGACCTGATTATCGCTTGTGATGAAGATATGACACTGCTAACTTTGTATTTGTATCTGTAGTTCACACTTGGCAAGAAGTGAAAATGAGCTTGCAGAGGATTTTTTTAACACCACTTTTTCCTCATTTTATACTCCTCTTCAATACCAGAGAAACTCTCTTCCCATGAGCACATGTTGTGGTTTCTTCTCTGGTTGAAAGAGACATTTAGCCTTTTTTAAAATTCCTAATTATATTTCAACCAGGCACACAAAAACCAAAGTTCAATTACAGCTGCCTAGAAGTTAATAACATTTCTAAAGATTGCTCTGAACACCAACCAAACAGAACAAATTATGCTCATTAGGGCCAATATAATAAACACCTACAAAGCAGATCAAAAGTCTAAAAAGATATTTCGTGAACTATACTAAGTTAATTTCACAGTGTTGTCAAGTCTAAAAAAAAAAGGAACCATGTTATAGCTATGATAATCAGTTATATAAATACTGACATTTTCTCAACAAGCCACTTTTTTTTTTCGTGGTGGTGGAGGATTCTTTTTTATCATAAACTTGAAAATCTGAACTCATGATTACACAAACGATAGAGGCTCTTCATCTGCTGGCACAATTTTGCTGACATAGCCATTATCAGTCTGCTGCTCTCTGTGAAAATGGAAGGTTCTTCTGTCAGTTAATTGATCACGGTGTGTATGACCCTTGAGTACATAAATATACAAACATTTGGACGTAGTTACCTTCTGTAAGTCTGTTCTGTCCAGATAAGGAACTATATCTGGATAGCATGGTCTTCTTGTGATTCGCTGCGTATGTATCGGCATGAGAGCATGACTGTTAGTGCACCCTTTAAGTGCAGATCAGCGTTTCCACGTGAGCGCTGTAAGCCTGAGAAGCCAGAAGGTGAGCGCAAATGATGTGTCCTCTATTGTTTCACTCATGAGTGTGCTGCGTGAGAGGACGTGTTTTCATATGAAGTAGAGGGTCTGGGAGAAATAGGGAATGAAACAGGTTATCAAAGAAAAAATAATCATACATACCAATTAAAAATGGATACATAAATAATGTATGTATGTATGTATGTGGGGGGTAGGTGAAGATAGATAGATAGATAGATAGATAGATAGATAGATAGATAGATAGA